GCTGAGAGGTTACACAGGCTTTTAATAATGTATTTTGTTTACTTTTTTATATTTTTAAATTTTTAGTTTTAGGTTATCACAGGGTATCCACGGATGCTACAAGTCTCTTGTTCTTTTTTGTGATATCCTGCTCTCTTGAGTAAATAAAATCTTATCTATCTTGTCTTTAATGACGTGCATAGGAGAAAAGAAGGACATTTGGATGCTGAGCATAGCACAAGCGCTCAGTGCTACTCCATTTGTCGTTACAGTGACGATTCATGTTTTTTTATTAGTGTATTGTCAGAAGCTCATGCATATACCTTGCATATTGTACTTAACATAAGAAATAGAATTCCTTCTTTTCAGATATACGATAGAGATGAGTAATCTCTCCAAACGGGTTTACATTTATAGGGTATAAGCATTTGTCTCATTTTCAAACCATCACAAAAACAGTACTACTTGAAATAATCTACTGGCATCATCTCGGTTCAATCATAATTGGTGATACCTGTTGACGTTTGCCATAATCAACATCAATAATAGCGTAAGTGTCTTGTGAAGAGAAAAAATCCTGCAAGATAGAGATTTATTTGATGTTCGTCTTCGCCGAGACTTTCATCATTCAGACTGACCAATTAACGTTGTAGATAGCCCTGTTGTGAGTATTCTTCGTCTCCTAATGATCTGCCTGGTCAAAAACCTCAAATCATTTTCGGACATATTTTTAGTTCTGGTTTATTAACGGATAGAAAGACCGGACCCGAAGCTTTCACCGAATATCAGCGTGAGTACGGTGACATATTTCTATTTTGGATCGGTCCACATAAATGTCCTGTGTTCTGTCTACCTGAACATGCTCAAGCAATCTTCTCCGATCGGCATATATTTGATCAATCTCCATTATTTCTACCTAATTTGGATTTACTTTGCCCAAACGGTATTATTATATTGAGCGGTTCCAAATGGAAGCGTCATGTACGAGTCATGTTGTCGGTGTTTAAACGAGCTAAAATCGTGAACTATTTAGAGACCATTCTTCATTGTACCGATCAATTTATTGACAAACATTTAGACGATAATCGCATCTACACAGATTTAGTACTTGGATGTCAATCATTAGTGATGAATATTATTGCATTTATTGCATTCGATCACGATCTCGAAGCTGAAATTGATTCATCGTGCGCACTTGCACTTCAGGATTTCGTATACTATGCAGGTCAGTTTATGATGACAGCATGGTTACCACGATGGTTAGGTAGACTCTATTTAAAATTAAATTGGAAATATCAACGTGCACATCGAATTCTTCGTGAATTATCGAAACAAATTGTCGGACAAGAACAAAATAAACAGAATGATACTGAAAGTCAACGACCGAAAAATCTAATTGCATCTCTTGTTTCATCAATCAATGAACAAGCCAATGATGAACAAATATCATCCGGTCTGACTCAAGCGGAAATTTTCGACGAAGTTCTCATGGCCATTACAGCCGGTACGGAAACAACGGCAAAAGTACTGGCATGGTTTATCTTCTACATGAGCAAGTATCCTCGAGTATAACAACGCATTAGACAAGAACTCAAAGAGCATGACATTCTTATGGGAGATAATGCACATTCATCGTTGTTGAGTTTGGAAACACTCGATTCACTTGTTTACTGTGATTGTGTCACCAAAGAGGTTTGTTTGTTAATCTTGTTATCGATCGATATTCTCAATTTTTTGTTTAGGTCCTTCGATTAGCACCGGTGGCCGGTATCACGGCGCGCAGGGCTTTACGTGATACAGTAGTCGATGGTGTACCGATTCATCGTGGTCAAGATGTATACGTTGCTCTCTACAATATGAACAAGGATCCACGCTATTGGCATCATGGTGATCCAACTGAATTTATTCCCGAACGATTTTTATTCGAAGATAAAAATCATCATCCTTATGCTATGGTTACATTTGGTGGTGGACATCGTGCTTGTTTGGGTCAAGATTTGGCACAATTCGAACTGAAATTGATGATTGTTAGACTTATGCAAGGTGGTGTATCATTCGAAGATACACCCGAAAATATTGGTGGATGCAAACAACATGTTACCTGTGCTCCGAGACATTTAGTTGTGCGTGTAAGAATCGATCATGATTGATATGTAGGATATGTGCGATCGAGACTAAAAGTCGCATTCAATCGTCGAATACTCAGTTGGATGGGATTTGATTCGTTCGATTTCAGAAATTTCATAGAAAGTAAATGATGTGAGGTGATCCGACGATTTATCAGAGTAATAAAGATATGAGTACAAGATTGTCATGAAGTATTTTTCAGAGCTGAAATTTTTTTAAAGTACAATTATGCTCGTTAAGAATATCATATTCATAGAAGCCGACAAAAGTGAATGTTGGAGAGAAGACAGCATCTTATTCTATACAAAACTTTACGTAAACACACAGTTTAGAGCCTCGTTTGGTTTCTGAGAACTCTGAAACATAGTTCTCTATATGTAAACCAAAGTGCATCTTCGGTTTGGAAATGTTGGTATTCAATGCGATCAGAAAATTTCAGAATGAGCTTTGAAATAGACCAAGCTCACTCTTCGATAAGTAACGGGTGGTGCAGAATAAATGGCAACCTCAGTGTTTTTAGAATATCTCACTCAAATTGTGATGTAGATACTTGAGATTTTTTTTCAAAACTAGCCCGAGCAATTCTCTACAAAACCTTATGCAGAGAGATGTTCAAACGACTACCTATTGAGTTATGGTCCGATCAACATTGAAATGCTCGAAAATGATACACTTTCAATGCACTCATTTTCATGGTAGCTATTTTGCACCGCTCTTTCGACTCCATATAAAGAGACTGAATAGGCCACTTTGTAAGCCCATGAAAAGCTAGAAACTTGCACGGTTTATCTTATGATAAGAAAGCTCAAGTATCTACGTCACAACTTGAACGAAATATTCTAAAAATACTGAGGGTGCCATTTATCCTGCGCCAGCCGTTACTATTCATGGCGTAATTCGATCATGAAATCATCCACTACAAGATAGAACTGAGAACGCCATTGAATATAAACCCGCAAGTTTGATTCATCCAGATTTAACCCTAATACGATTTGAATTAGGCTGAGAGCAAAGAAATTCTTCACAGCTTGATTTGAATTTTTTATCTTCGATGCAGGTTTTACAGCCTGCTGGGCTCTGTCACAAGATCGAAACACGTCGTGCCTGTTTATTTCTATACTCCCCATAGTATAAAATGACCTTTCTGCTGAGCTTATCCTCGAATTACTTTGATTTTAATGAAATTCTTCTGAATTCTGTTGATTTTGAACTTAGTTTGGTGATTTTATGCAGATATCTATTGCCATCTGATGAGATCTGCTGAATACAGATCGAAACGCGTTGTTCCTATTTATTTCTATACTCATCCTCATCCTCAACTTCACACCCTCACAGCTGCATCCGTTCTCCATTTATTCAACAAACAGTGAAATGCGTTACATTTTGAAACGAATAATACTTGAGTCTCGCTTTTTACCTGTTGCCTTTATTACTTTTGTAATATACTTTTATCTATAGCATGTTTTATTTGCGTTGATTCGGCGAGGTTGAAAATCATAAAATACAGAGAATCAAGTTTCAAAAGAAAAAGAAAAACTCCACATATATTTTTATCGTGAGGTCCCTTCATATAGTTATCAATCGCACGATACAAGCAAATATTCTCGTATTGCCGATATTGCAGAACAAAATGAAAATATTTTCTTCCAGTCATTTATTGCTCACATCTCTAGCGAAAAAAACCAATCCAGTGTGTCACGGAGTGACTATGACTCATCAGACGATCTCCTCTCACTACCATTGCATCATCTTGCTTTCTTCTTACGTCCTACTACCACGTCATCATATGATGACATCTTCATGTCT